TCCGGCTGTGTTATAGGTTATATGTATTTTTGGCAAATTTAATAAATTATAAAAAAAATTAGATTAAAATCAAATTATAACTTATAATTATAAATTAGATTAGGACGGATGTTTTTTTATTTTCCGTTAACGAAAGGCAAGGCAGTTTATGACTGCATGTGCCTACCGGTGTAGAGTATTGCATTAAAAAAAAACAATGTGGAGTAAAATGCAGAGGGGTTAATGAACAGGTCTTGTCGATGCCACACTCGTTACAAAAGGTGGATTTGGTTAGAACAGGTATATGCATTAAATGTGCATCATATTTATTTCGATACGAAACTTCGACGTTCCGTACGCTCTGCGTACCCGGCGCAATGGATTTACCTATTCCTCTCAAGTCCGAAGGTATAAGGCTCGTGCCCTTGCCGTGTTACTTTTTTCATTTTTTTTTATTCCTATCAATTTAAATTCTTCTCCAGCGGAAAGTTGGATATGTTCAGTGTACATGCATGCGCACCTGTGCTAACTTCTGACAACGTACTTCTTACGATCAAATCGACAACAAAGTCGAAATGCAGAGGTGAGGCTAACACAAAAGGGCACTCAAGTTATCATGTTTGGGCGTAAACTTCTAGCTGATAATCCTCAAATTACATGGGTATAATCCCTTTCCGCGGCTTAGGCAGTTAACACGTTTCTTTTCATTCTGATACGAGAGCCCGCAGCGCGCGCAACGTAGCTCTATAGCGTAGAGAATTTTGTAATCCGTCAGTATCTATCTATAAAGTGGACAAATGCGTTTTCACGAGCCATCTTGATCGACAAGTCCTGTTGTTGGTGAACAAAATGACCAACAAAAAAATTGATTCTTTGGAGCAAAATTTTCTCTCTTAGATTCAGCAAATGCAACTCATTCAATCAATGATTTCAAAGCATATTTATTCGATTTCGTATTCTTTACAGTTACGAATGGGAGTTGCCAGACCTAAAAAATTGCGGACCGTTTGTGAGATTACCAAAATGCCTTTACAAACGAGAACCGAAGTGGTATAAATATTTTGAGGTCTTAACACCAAGCCATATTTTCAAAGTTGGGGTTTGGAACTTAAAAATTATTGTTACGTCTATTGCTATATTGTTACGAGGATAAAGTCAAACTAATTGCCTCCAGAATGGCAGCAAAGTCGGCGGAAGGAACATGTTTTAATAATTAACATTGCATGTTTTGCTGAAAAGGACGCTAACATTACGATTTCCCGTGGTGCAATGCGCTTTCATGAAACCCTTTTTTAAAACTGCAAACTAGCCTGAAGTACAAAATGCTACAATGAAAACTTTCCAAGACTGAAATTTGGACCGATGCATATTCAATGGTTCCAAATTTTTTCAATGAAAACTGATTCATGAGTCAAATGCAAACCAACTTTGGTGCCCCATCCAGGTCAGAGGCTCGCAGTTTCTAATTCTGTAAAAATACCTTGAGCACTATATGCTACAAATTCTTTCTAAAAAAGTACTCTACACTTCCTTGTGGCGTTTACATCTTGTAACTTTTACGATCGTCAAAAATTTCTTTGCTACAAAATAAGCTACTGTTACAAAAATAACTTTTTGTTCTTTTCGAGTGAAACTCTATCTAGAGCTGGTTCACTAAAAGAAGAAAAGCATCAAAATTGGGAAGATTTTCGTATGCCTTGCTTGAAGCTATACAAAATAATTCATAATTCAGCTCTATCAAAAAAAAATTCCCTCAGCTTGCTGACAGGACATCCCAATAGTTGACACAGGGTGACTCTTTCTATCAGGACTTTCAGGGCAATTGCAAAGGGATGAAACCCTAATGAAATCGTGATAAAGTCAAGTGAAATCCAATTTCTACTGCAGAGAGAGGTTCGACAGTTATGCATCTGGGCAATGTTAGAGCAAAATTCAGCAACAGTTATAAGATATATCAACAGTTATATCATTTTCCCAAAGAAAATTCCCAAGGAAATTGAACATTATTACATAATCAAAATTAAGACCGTGATCGAATCAATAGTTCCTTTCCTTTTTATGTGCAGTTGAAAAGCACCTGTTGACGTCATAAAGCCACCGCCAACAGCTGGTGAATTTCACTTCGTCACTGGATGAAGTTCGTTTTTAGGGCGGTTTTTTACGTTTCATTTATTGAGCCTCAGAAGATTACTATATACAATTCTTGAGTTGTCATTTCTCTCTATCCAATGAGAAATGGTGCTAGCTTCTCCAGCAAAGAGGGCACTTAATCTCTAAGGGCTCTATCTATTACCTGAAACAAGAGGCCTTCCTTAATGTGCAATACTTTTGGTGACACTTGTGTCTTGTTTGAAAAGACATTCTCAGGATATCCGTATTACTTGTAGTTCGCATAATCGCTGAAGGAGTCCAAAAACAATCGTATCATTTCGCAACAGACCTTGTACTGCTCCTGTTATGGAAAAGACCATCAAAGATTGACAAGATGCAGATACGACAATTATAATAAAGCGTATCCACAGAAATCAATGACCTATGATCATGCATTAAAAAATAAACCAGTAGCTCCACCTGGCAAGAAATGGAAACTGAGAACTGCTTCGGGGATCTACGGCGCTGGGTAACAGCAATATGCTCTTCAAGGTCCCACAAGGATCCAGGGCAAATACGTCACAAATGGCAAAGAGCAAAGTGAACTTAGATCATTCGAGGAGAAGAATTGTTAGCTGGAGATGAGATTAGAGAGAAAAGCAAGGGTTTCAATGAGGTACAATTTACCTCCCGCCCTTTACTCGTCAGAAATGCCACAACCAGCACCTCCCACCCCAGCCCCCTTCTTTCTGCTCATCAGTGATCATCTCAGGCTTGAATTGACCATTCTAATGCAATTTCATGCTAAAAATATAACTTTGTCATATTTTCGAGTACATTTACAAGTAGCTCTGTCGTGTGCGTCTTGATAATATTTTAAACAAATTTTTCGATATGTTTTTTGCAATCCCTGTTGATCTTCTCCATTTTCAAGCGTCCTCATTCCTAAACTGCTTATCAATACGTCTTAAATATTTTACGTTCTTGCCATTATTTCAATTTAACGTTTCCTTGAATTGATCACTTCTCCTCTGAGGCTTAAAAAGGGAACGTGACATACCGTGGCATAGCTTCGTAAAAGGAAAAGAAGCCTTGAGATTACGGCCAAAATTCTTTATGTATTCTAAAAATAAATTTATCCCCCTTGCAAACACAAGACGTTTAATATGCTTATCGGAATAAAAACTATCATCAGGTGATTTTCCTTACCGCTGTCTGAACCATAAGAGGTCTCTGAGTACGCAGGCGCCGTACGGCCTGAAACATGTCTACTAAACCATCTAGTTTGACCCGCTCCAGTGCTATATCAATATAGCGCAAAAAGTACCAGTACGACCGCTTCCATCGCTAGGAGAGAGTAACGAGGGATAAGAATCGTTCCCTTAGCTGATTAAGGAAAAAGAACTAACTAAAAATATATTTCGGTATTACAACGCTCAAAAGGCGACGTTTTCATGTTTCCTGGAAATATATGTAATAATATTACAATTAAATTTGTAATATTCAAATGATTCAACTTCCCCTAACCCAACAACAGTCAACGTACTGATAACAAGTTAGAATTAGTGTTGGGTTAGGGGAGCAGCAGCTCCGCCGTTGCTACGATACTGACATTGATCTATATGACGTGATATTTTCAAGGGGTTTACCTACAGTGGTAGATAATCTTGTTGCCTTGCCTGTTGTCGTGTCGCTTCTAAGGCCTGAGATGTCAAATGTACACAAAATAACCTGGCTCGTCCCTAGGCTCACTCTTTCGTCGGCGCGTCACTTGCTCGCATCATACTACATTATATCACATCATAATACTTTTGTCACGCCAATACAGCACCTCATGCTTAATAACTACAGTAAGACTCCGTACTAAATAGAAGTAAACGTTTGGTCATAAGAAGTGAGTGGTCGTTTCGTCGAGTTGCAATGACTAATGTGAGGTTCAGTGCTTAAATGTGATCAATCCGGCGTTGCACGTATTATTACAGCATTTTCGTTTCATTTGTATTTTGTTTTTAATTTCTTTCCATCACTAATATATTTTGTTTGATGCTTTTTGACAATTATGAAAAGCCTGGTGTTCATCTCCACTGTGAAGAATGGGACCAAGGACAAAATTGAGGAAATTGTAAACCAGAGCAGACAACGGCTAAGCTTCTTAAATTTTTACAGTTTCTAAGGAGAGTTCAGAGAAATAATGTGGCCCCACAGTAATAGCGAGTGACGAGTGATTTAAACGAAGAGCAAGCCTTATAGAACATAACAGAGATTTTACATCGGAAGGTGATTGAATAACTAGATAGATTGTTGATTGATCATTAAAGGAAAACCTCCTTTAACGTCTCTTCCTCCCCCCTCCCCCGCAGACACAAAATACGTCACGGTAGGATGCATCTGTTTGGTTTGTTACCTAACCTGGCTATCCTTCAAGTTTATTAAGAAGGTTGATCACGACATAAGCTACCATAACAACTTCAGATGGGCTTTGGTCCTTGGACCTGTATGATTTGTTCTCTAAGATTGTGATTTTGTTTGTAGTGCAAACCTAGGATAAATAAACGCGCTTTTTTTTATTTGTCGTTGTAGCGTTCAATGTAAATATTTGATCGAAGCAAATTTTTTTTCTGTCAAATACTTTTCTTCTTCCCTGCGGCCAGCTAGAGCTAGAAAAGTATGCTATGTGTAGATAATCTTTGGCCTCATCACCTTTTCAACCTTGACTGGTGAAACAACATGACCAGGCATTTGACAAACGTTTAGGGACCAGAGGCTGCCTCTCACTTTAGAGACTCAGAAATTCAACAAGCAAGGAGTTTTGGGCCTCCTAAGTGCAAGCAGAGCGCCTTTTTTGGATATAGCTAACGACCACGAAGTGTACGGAAAGAGCAAATGATTCAGAAAATTGTGCTGTGGGCTCAATCAACGATTAATCACAATTGGCAATTACAATGTTTTACTTTATTGAATCAAAAGCAAACCCTAGAGCTTACGAATACAAAGCAAGCAAAGAAAATGCATTTCTTCTCATCGCCATGATGCTAACGAAGCCGGGATAATACTTCCATCCCGTTTGGCGTTTTCTGACAAAGAGCTACAGGCATGTCTTTGTAATGAATCCAACTGGGAAGGATGCAATAGGCGTCATTCCACTTCCCTGGAGTAAAACCCCATCTCCAATTCTTTCCAATGAGGAACACACATTTCTCGAGCACATTGTTTGGTTCACCAACTTTCCATGCCGTGTAGCCAGTCAGCGGTGTGTCGTCTGTCCAGTAAAACGCATTGGATCCTCTTCGCTGCAGTCCTATCCATGCTCCACGACTTGTAAACCTCACCTGCTTCTTAAGAAGGTTTAAGAGAAACTGATTTTGGGTGGCGGATGTAATTTTAGCGAGTTCTCCTCCCAGTTTTCGACAGTTTCGTCTGGCATCTTTCCATTCTCTGATTGGAATGTCGATGACGAGGAAGCAAGAGTTTCCATAATGAACCCAACCCTCTGGACAACCTGACTCTGATTCTGATAAAAATGAGGAAAAAAATAAGAAAAGGTTCTGTACGAAGTGATAAATATTAAAAATAAGGAATCATTCATAGGTACGTAACTGAATGGTGTTAAATAAGGAAGTCACACTGACAACTTTTCAGACCCTCTATATGTCCTTGTTTTTTACCACGCCTGTTTTTCGCCACATGGTGTCGTTTCCAGTGATGAAATATGAAGACTTTGATTGGCTCGATAAATATACCCATCTAAATCATATTTGCCTACCATGGCATGGTCTATTGTTACACGGCCGTGTTTCCTTGCTGGGTCCTGAACACCGAGCCCGCTCTTTAGACGGAGAGGGATTGGTACAAGTGCGCTTACGCTCTTGTTCTCCGTCTCCACAGACAGCGTTGCATTCTCCCCAGTCTTCCCAATCACTCCATCTGCCACTAACAACAGTTTCTGAAAGAGATAAAATTTATTCTAAAGCGTATTTGTAAAGGACTACGTCGAGAGGACTGAATTGGACTGGGACCGAGCCCTGAATCGTGGGATGATGCAATCTGATGTAATCGGATCAACTTAGTGTCGAGAACAGTAAATATGTCGAGTTTTACAAATTATTTGTCGTTTAGCTGTTGTCTTTGACCCAAATCGGACTGATATATCGTAAGCACTTTGTGCTTTATTGTTTTATCATGATAATTTAAAACCGATACGATATACAATGTTATACAATACAATGTTCTTTATTTCGAGAGGGTAGATACATGATTAACCCAGTAAAGAGTTTTCTAACACACGGCCCTCTAATAAACCCACCCACCCCACCCCAGGGGAGGACATCCATCACGCAGTAATCTCGTGTGTGGGAAATTAATGTTTCCTACCCCAACCCTGTAGGATACGGGACCTTCATTTATTCGTCCCTATCCGAGAAGACTAGAATATCTAACCATTTCTTGATGTTATAGAAAGGCAGCAAATTCTTCTCAATTATTTTAAGACCCCTAGTGTTGGTCCGGCCGGGGCTCGAACCCTCGACCTCCCGCACAACAGTCCAGCGCTCTATCCACTATCTCTATCCATCTACCTAACTAGACAAGGAGACTGATGTTACCATCTTTCATCTTGCAACATCTGAACTTCTCAATACAATAGAGGTTATTACAGTCACTCTTGTAGAAACCGGTCATGTAAAAACCGTCCCTCTGGCATTCACTCCACCCTTTTTTGTCAAATGAAATGGTAACATCTTCATCGTAACAGTCTTCATAACTGCTGGGATGGTTCTGTGGACGGCAACATTTTGCCTCGTCTATGTTGTTCAAAAACGCGGGAAGAGAACAATCAAGTCTGAGGCCATTCATGAAATAACCGGAAGGACAAAGGGCCCAGACGTTATACCTAAGAAGAGTAAAATAATTTTGATCAACTGGGTCTGAATAGTTATCGGCATAAATGTTAATGAAAACGTCTTCGCTGATAGGAGACTCAGCCAGTTGACTTATCAATGACTGCTTCTCTAAGATAATCTAAGGTTTTTCGACATGGTCAGAACATTCATTTCTTAACGCTGAAAAATTATATACTCCATCGCCTGAAAAACGTAAAAACATGTTTCAGTAGTTTAGAGGTACAAGAGATAGAAAAGTGGAGAGGAGGTGAGCTACCAAGGGGTTTTCTTTCTCTTTTATCAACAAAATAACAATTTAGTAGCTTTTTTTAAATTTGGCGATCACATTTAGAAACATTATATTTACTTGTAACTCTTGACGGATGGGCCATATGTAACCATTCTGACCAGAGGTAAATAGTCTCAGAATATGGTAATGAAAACGATACGTACATAGTTATTGAATTCAATTGTATCTTTTAGCTTTACACCACGCTTCATTCAGAAAGGGATTGTTATCTCCCACCCGGTCGTTCTTTAAGATGTGACACAACGCCACGTGACATCCTTAAGAATTTACGCATAGAAAACTGGAACTGAGAGAACAACTCACCGATTCAACCTGTCTGACAAGTCTGTATTTGAACATGTTGCCGGTTGACCTGCATATTGGGGCTGCACAGCATCGCAGCACCTTCCCTCTTCCAGGCGTCCAACTCTTTCGTCTCCCCGTTGAAAAGCATTCCTCCAAAATCCTCGGAGGTAGGTGTTGGTTTTAAGACAAACAGACCATGTGGTCCTATCTAAGCTCGCCCACCAGTTTGCAATGTCGCACCTAGGCCTCTTGGAGCCCTCGGTGAAGCCCAGCAGCAAACTGATACATAAAATGATGAACACGAACCGCATCATGCTTCCCTCACTTGATTGTTTCCACTGTAAAAAAAAAAATCGGGAGTATGAACCTTAACGCGTGTCATAGACGAACCTAATAATGACTTTGTACGGTAAGGGTCCATAGGGCTCAGTGGTAAGGCGTCAGAGCGCAAAATCCTAAGGTCTGAAGTTCAAGTTCTCAGGGAAACTCAGAATCTTTTTTCTTTTTTTTTTTGTGTCACGAACGGTCGTGGTGTCAAGACGATGAAACGTCTTCCTTCTGCAAATGTTCTTGTTATCCAAGTGTCCTCGAGCTACTGGTTCATTTGACCGCGGTCGATTTGACAGAAATTGTGATATCTTAATGTCGATCATGTCAACACGGAATACTCGGGAGCGATTTCGCGGACGAAAAAACAGAGTGGTTGTTTGATTGATTGCTTTTCTTGTTAGCTTTCTTGTTTGCGAACCAGTAATGACACCCTGAAGCTTATAATTTGATCGAAACATTACCAAATTGAGACTTTTCTAAGCGCTTGTAAAGTGTTTAAGTTTTAGTCTCTTTTTTGCACGATCCTTAGATGTTCAAAGCTGCTGTAGTTCTATAAATGAACAGTCAATCGTTGTCTCACTATGAAGACCCTCTCTAAGCTACCACCTATGACAATGTCAGAATGAAAGTTTTATAAAAAGCGCGCTGTTAAGAATTTTAAAAGGTCGCTGGTCACTTATATAGACGATATGAACATTTCAGTCTCCATTGGACAAACAGGAACTCCTAACATAAGTCAATTGATGAAATCTGATTTATACAATTTCCGGTCGTTTTTAATTAATGAAAAAAATTATGATAATGAAGCTAGAGGAAAATAGAAAGAATTGAATTTTTAACGGGAAAAATTCCCAGGTGGGTTCTTTCGTCTGGAAATATGTGGCCGGCGAGTTTCTCGCCTTACAGTGCAAATGATAAATCTATGTCCAATCATGATGCTGAGAACAAAACGCAAAATTGTAAAGCTTGATTCACGCCCAGGCAAGTCCAAGGTCGATTTCCGTCCTCCTCTCGTGCCCTCTCGAGGCAGATAGAGCAAAATGAGAACGCTCAAACTTGCTCTTCAACTTAAACAGTGAGACTGGTGAGCTATCTTGGCAACTTCACTATCTAAAGTTTGCTTTTTGGTCCTTAAAATTTGTCGATAACTGAGTGGAAACCTCCGAGAAATATTTTGAAATATTTGAAAATACAAATTAAGCTGCATTGGTGGTTAAAAGCGTTTTTGAAATTATAAACAATAAAAATGTTCCCGACGTTTCGGTGGCAATCACGGACCATCTTCAGGGGAAGTGAAAGAAAAAATTTTATGCAAAAGCGCAGATATGAACAAGACGCTGATTAAAATTCAAGATAGATGTCACTTTTTCTTGTTTGCGAGAGTCAAGTGTAAATACTCCTTGCGGAGTTACGCCCCGTCGCCTCGGTTGAGTGGGTCTTTGACGCAGTTAATCTCCCAGGCCTTGAGAATCTTTCTTTGGTGCCAGTTATTGTTGGTCCTGAGAATTGTGGCCTCATCCCATGCGATATCGTGATTTGTTTTTATCACGTGGTCAGAAAGTGCAGATCTTTCGCCTTGTCGCCGCGCGACAACCTTTTGGTGCCCGCCTTTCTTGTTATGAATTTTCTGTGCGTTTCGCCTTGGGTAAATGAATACCCAATATAAAAAAAAAAAAGACATTTAGAAAGTTGAAGAACGAAAAAGATAATGCGCGGATTCCAAGCGACAAAGTTGAAAGATTTAGCTTGAGGTAAACAAGAATGCACACGATGCACATGTCAAGAAATATTTCAGCTGTTTAAACTACATATTTGGAAGAAAATAAGCGAGACCTTAACGGCTAAAATCACAGAGCTTCCCTCTGGCTGGTTGTCTTTAAAAGTGCGTGAAATTTGCAAGATACATACCAAAACTGTGCTGTCTTTGACGGTTACTGACTCCGCTGCTCCGCTGTGATAACCTAGTTCTACGCAGTAAAGGCCCTGTAGAAGACTGTTAGCTGCGCTTATATGTGGGAGAATTTAAGAACATAACACAGACGCAAGAACGGAACAAGGATACATGACACTGACGTAACCCGGTTGAAAGGAATCCAACTTCCTGTTGATCTTCAAAGCCGAAAACGTTTATCATTCCTGTAGACACTGTAGAGGACTGTCAGTTGCACTTATTTCGTAGAATTTGAGAGCATAACGTTGACGTAAGAACGGAACAGGGGTACATGACACTGACCTAACCCAGTTGAATGGAATCCAACTTCCTTTTGATCTTAAAATTCGACAACGTTTATCATTCCTGTCTCTGAGCTTAAGATCTTCTTGCTAGAGTGCCGGACCTACAGTCTTAGTCGTTTAAAATTGCCGAACATCTTAAAATGTGTGGAGTTAAACGGTTTATAAAAGCCATGGAGACAATTACTTTTCGTTGGCCAACATACGTTAAAATAAAGCAAACATTAACTGTTACTCCGTCACTGTTGTTTTGAATGTTTATGAAGAAATTTAATATTAATTCTGAAGTGGAACTGCGACAGATCGCTAGTAGAGTATATAGTAGTTTTCATTTGGTTTTAAACAGGCCATAACAAGTGCAAGTAACGCAATCAAGGTCGTCGCTGCGAAATAACAATTTCTACAAATTTAGTTAACGTGAAAACTGGATGCTGGCTTCAAACGTTTTTGGGATTCTGAGTCCGAAAACCGAAACCAAATGCTAAAAAACAGAAAATCCACAAACCGCAAGAAACACCACAAGATTTTGGCACAAAAACCGAAAAACCTAGCCAAAAATAGCTAAAAAAACACAAAAGCGAAAACCATAAGCTTGTAATAAAACCTACTAACTTCAAGTATGTTTGCACGATCTTTTAGATGTTCAAAGGTTTTGTAGTTTTATAAATGAACGGTTAACTGTTATCTCACTATGAGTCAGGCTGTCAAACTGTTTCAATTCCTAAAGTGAAACAAGGATGCAGCATAAGTGAAGTAAAGGCTCTGCAGAAGGTGAAGAAAAGTTTAAACGCGACGCATGACTAAGGCTAAAATTAAAATGTGGCGCGTGAATTTTTACAAAAGGGCGAGCTTGACTCGCAAACCAACGTGAGGTGTAATTTGCCTCCTGAAGTATACGTGAGTCGTGAGTTTTTTTCTCTCATTTCGTGAAAACCTCATGATTTCCCTGAAAGTTTGCACAAGAAAGATTTGAAGAATTGCCTTAAATAGTCGCGACGCACGAAATATTGCTTAAAATATACGTGAAGCGTGAATTTATCTTAAATTTGTGCTTGAAACGGGATCAGGACCCTCTCTTATCTACCACCTATGAACATAAACAATGTCAGAATAAAAGCTTTATAAAGAGCGCGTTGTTAAGAATCTTAGAAGGTCGCGGGTCACTTGTATAGACGACATGAACATTTCAGTCTCCATTGGACAAACAGGAACTCCTAACATAAGTCAATTGATGAAATCTGATTATCAGATTTCCCGGTCGTTTTTAATTAATTAAAAAAAATGATGATAATGAAGCTAAAGGAAAATGGATAGAATTGAGTTTTTAACGGAGAAAATTCCCAGGTGGGTTCTTTCGTCGTGATTTATGTGGCCGGCGAGTTTCTCGTCTCACATTACAAATGGTGAAACTTTGTCTCAATCATGATGCTGAGAACAAAAGGCAAAATTGTAAAGCTTAATTCACGCCTAGGCAGGTTCAAGGTCAATTTTCGTCCTTCCCTCGTGCCTTCTCGCGGCAAATAGAGCAAAATGAGAACGCTCAAGCTTGCTCTTCAACTTAGACAGTGCGAAATAGTTTGGCTGGGTAAATGAACACCCTGGCAAGAATGAAAAGAAAGACATTTAGTTGCGCCTAGTTCAACGCGGTAAAGACACTGTAGAAGACTGCTGGCTGCGCCTATGTCGCAGAATTTAAGAACATAACATGCACACTGACGTAAGAACGGAACAAGGAAACATGACACTGATGTAACCCTGTTGAAAGGAATCCAACTTCCTGTTGATCTTTAAATTTGGTAACGTTTCATCGTTCCTGTCGGTGAGCTTAAGATGTTGTTGCTGGAGAGCCTGACCTACAGTCTTAGTCGTTTAAACTTGCCAAATATCTCAAAATGTGTGGAGTTAAACGGTTTATAAAAGCCAAGGAGACAGTTACTCTTCGTTGGGCAACATATGTTAAACTTAATGCAAACATAAACTGTTATTTCGTTACTGTTGTTTGAATAAATGTAGAAATTTAATATTCATTCTGATGTGGAACTACGACAGATCGATAGAGGAGTATATAGGAGTTTTCAATTGGTTTTAAACAGGCCATAACACAACTCCAAGTGACGTAATCAAGGTCGTCGCTGCGAAATAACAATTTCTGCAAATGTATAGTAGTTAACGTGAAAACTGGATGCTGGCTTCAAACATTTTTGAGATTATGAGTCCTTGAACCAATGTTTTTCATGGTCTTATCCTTCCACATTAGCCACATCACTGTTTTCGTCATTAATGGACCGCCCAAAATCAATTTCTATTAAACCTTCTTAAGAAGTAGGTGAGGTTTACAAGTCTTGGAGCATGGATAGGACTTCAATGAAGGGGATCCAATGCGTTCTACTGGACAGACGACACATTGCTGACTGGCTACACGGCGTGGAGATGTGTTCGAGATACAATACAATACACTTTATTACGGCCACCCTATACGAGGTTATTCTGTCGTAATATGCAACGATAAGAAATATACGATAGTAAATTACAATTACAATGGGAAAAAATATTTTAATGCATTGCGAAAAAAAAATAAGTAGATAAATTAGAAACAAAAAATTGAGATTAAAAAAAGTACCAGATACTTATGAATAAAGGCTGATAGTTTCGAAAGAAACTGTTTGGGGCTGCGTCGGTGGGAGTAACGAAATAATTTGGATATATCAACAAAGTTGAAATGGTAAATTAGCCACCGTAATGATTACAAAAGCTGACGTTTCGAGCGTTAGCCCTTCGTCGGAGCGAATAGAGGAATTGTGGGTTGTGTGTGCTTTTAAAGGCAGAAAATGGAGCTACGTTATTGGTGGGAGCATGGCAACGAGAAAAACATGAATAAATTAGTGGAATGAAAAGCGTTCGTTGATCCCTGTGGGATTTAGACTGCCGGTTTGAAAGATGAGCTTTTGTTCAAGATTTTTACGGCTTTCCGTGCCACCTAAGTGCAAGGAAAGACCGCAGATTGCCATATGTTGCTTAGAATGATTAGGTAAATTAAAATGTCTAGCGACTGGTTTCGATGTGTCCTTGTCATTCCTTTCCACGTCTCGAAGGTGTTCTCGGAATCGGTCACCTAGTCTTCTGCCTGTTTCGCCGATGTATATCTTTTTGCAATAAGTGCAAGTTATGCAATAGATTACATTGGCGGAGGTGCACGTGAAGTGATCGGTGATCTTAATGGATCGTTTAGGTCCCGATATTTTATCAGTGTTGTGAATGAAAGGACACGTTTTGCATCGTGCACGAGCGCATTTAAAAGTGCCTGGTTGGTCATTAGTCTGAAAAGAACTTCTGACCAAAAAATTGCCTATGTTTTTGTCGCGTTTGAATGAAATGAGCGGAGGCTGCGAAAAGATAGTGCTTGTCTCTGGATCGTTTTGAAGTAATTTAAAGTTTTTAAGAATGATGGATTTAACTGAGTGGTTGTGAGGGTGAAACGTGAGAGTGAATGGAATGCGGTCGGAATCTTCCTTATGCGACGTTTGTAGTGCTGAATGTCGATCAATAAGTTG